GAGAGAGAGAGAGAGAGAGAGAGAGAGAGAGAGAGAGAGAGAGAGAGTGGGAGAGAGAGAGAGGGAGAGCGGGAGAGAGCAAGTGGGGGAGTGAGTGTGAGAGAAAGAGCTATATTTTAATATTGAGATCACTCAAATGAATGACAGCTCAACCAACTGGCGCTGCATAGCCCCATAGCCAAGCTGGGGCTGCCGCAGCATGACTTGCTAGTTATATAAGAGATTACCAGAGTATATAAGTATATATATGTGTATATCCTTTGTGTAAAGTCCAATATGGTTTACCTGACATAATTAATGACTTACAAGCCATTAAAGTGGCTTAACAAATATTTTACTAAGGCTTAGAGCAATGCTTGCTTGTGCCTGTGTCTTAGCAGCTCTTGACTCTGTTACAAACATTTATTTATATATACGAAAGACAAAAGTTGATAAATAAATCCGATATCAAATATATAACCTACACATACATAATAATAATATTCTTTTTTTTTTTATATTAATATATTTTGAATATGGCTTGTTTGACAGATAAAATATTATCGCAATTTTATTTTTATTTTTTTTTTCCATATGGTTTGCTTGACTGTTTTATAATGTGGCTCATTTTTGTTATTTTCACAAGCAATTTTGAGTTTTAATTTAAGCATACAATATCAAAGTTTTTTAGAAGTAAAGTATCTCCAAAAATCTCAATGCTCAGACACTTGAAAGCTTGCTTAATTTGGAGATTATTTTTTAATGCTTGTATTTTAAACGAGTTGTTAGACCAAATGGCAGGAGCGTACTTCCCACAAAGGAAGTATATAGAACATTCAATATAAATGAAACTAATTAGACATATTTATATTGAAAACTAATTATAGATATTTCAGTTACAAAATATGTTTTCCTACAGAAATCATCTGCAACATTAAAATCGAACAGTAAAATTGACAATACTTGAGAATGAAGTAGAAAATAGATTAGATAGGGGAATATTCTGCATCACATTGAAATCAATTAAAATAAAAGAGACTCAATGATAAGAGCCAAGAGACTACCCAAAGAGTATACCATGTAAAGTTAAATAAAAGAATTAAAAATTATATTACATACGTTTTAATAATAATAATTTGTATATACAATTAAAGCTAATATATTGAAAAATTAAAAAAAAAAAAATTATAAAATGAATATATTAATTGATTATCAAATTAATATATTAATTTTATAATATATTAGTTTTGCATGTATATTATTCTTACTCCATATTTTATGTCATTTTTTATTTGATTATTAATTGAAAATATCCAATTCTGACTTGAATTAATATACTACATACATGTATATCATATGATATATGTAATTTTAATAATTATAATTATTCCTTATAAACTTCAAGTATGATTCTAAATAAAATATATGACAGCTTTAAGTGCAATCACTTTGAGTTCGATTCCCCCTTTGAGTCTCTTTAGGTTTTAATTCAATTGCCTTCAATGGGGTTTACAAAATCAGCTCGGCTCCTGCGGCCTGTCGCATTCTTCAGCATCTTCAGCTTTGGCTTTGCGCTTTGTTGGCGTTGCCCGTTTGCCAGCTTTGCATTTATGGCTGGCAGCGGCGCCTTTTGCTCTGCCAGTTTTATCATATTTTCATTTAACTGATTGCTGTTCGTTGTTGTTGTTGTTGTTGTTGTCTCTGTTGTTGCTCTTAACGCATAACGGTAAAGAGTGTTTGGCCGCTGATTAAGTCGATGCTGACGTCGGCGTCACCGTCGCCGTCGCTGCCATTGTTAATAGCAGCGAATCGAAGCTCTCTGAGTATAAATATAAGAAGCCGCACGGGCCAAGGAACAACAACAGAGCGTGAATCGAACTGCGCCCAATTCCTTGTGCCTGTCCCCAACGCAATTTCAGCCCGAAATGACAACGTATAGTATGTGGCGATGTGGCACTGGGCCGCTGTCGCTAATCCTCCTGCTGGTCGTGATTTGTGCACGGGCAACGCCACTACCAGGAGCACCAGCAGAAGCAGGAGCAGCAGCTGCTGCTGGAATAGTGGAGCCGACCGTCAGCAGTGAAACGACACTTGAGGCCCAGCAGCAACAGCAGCAGCAGCAGCCGTCGCATCGCATTGACTGCAAATTGACTTTCGATGCGACAATGGACTCGTTAGAGCAGCAGCAGCAGCAGCACAATGACTGCAACGTGCTGCAGCCAACAGGCAGCAGCAGCAGCAGCAGCACTAATAAGCCAGCGGATGCGGGCAGCGACCACGAGGACGACCACGAGCAGGAGTCGGCGAATGTCCTGCGACACTCAGTGTCGGGCAGTCAGCCCCTTTATGAATTACAAGTGGTTGTTTGGCCAGCTGATGTTGGGGCTGTTGATGACATTGCCACAACAACAATGGGAACAACAACAGCAGCAACAGCAAGCACAACAACAACAACAACAGAGGCAGCAGCAGGAGGCACCACAATGGGAACAAGAACAACAACAGCATCAACACCTACAATGTTGCCTTTATATGAGGATCAATTGGTCGTATTTCCGCAAATGGAATTTGATGAGGAAAATTTTGATTATTTCTTTGATGAGCAGCAGCCAGGAGCTGTAGCCACATCCCCAACTACAACAACAACAACAACAACATCCACATCCACAGCTACATCCACAGCTACATCCACAGCTACATCCCCATCTCCATCCTCATCCACAACAACGCCAAAGTCCACCCCAAGACCCGACCCACCGCAGCAAGTTTATGTGTTGGAGAACTATCGCATCAAACACGCCAATGGCACCGAGGAGCACAAGTAAGCCCGGTTAGGGCCAAGCCAGGCCCTCAGCCGTCCCCCCTTCCGCCCCCCATGTGGCCACCTTAATTCTCAATTTTCGCATTCATAGATTGGTGCTCAGCAATGGCCTGGCCAACTACATCAAGCTGTATAGGAAAACCGTTGGCGACCGTCTGATCAATGTGCAGGAGGGCTATCACTCGACTCCTGTCGCCGGGCAGAAGTCGCAGATCCAGACGATTTACTACATTGCCGATGAGCGGGGCTACAACGTCTACAAGAGTGAGTCGAGTTTTTAGTTTTCTGCTTAAATCATCATTATCCTTATCCTCCTCATCATCATCATAATCATTATCATGGTCAATATCTTCGCCCCAACAGTTGAGCAGGGCCCCCAATCGACGGTGCGTCAGATGGCCACGAAATCACCGAAGCCTAAGCCAAATATGTGAGAGTGTGGAGATATCATCGCATTGCACAGTGGGACACAGCTCCTGAGCAATATTTTTTAAGTTAAATTTTTTTTTGTATCCCATAGAGATTTTAAATTATTTAAATTATTGAAAAATGTTTTTATTAAAAAATATTTTGAATTAAACGAAAAACAATTATGTTTAAATAAATTTATAAATCTATCATCTTAAATTTTAACATTTTTTAAAATTATTATATTTAATGTATAGAAATTCTATCACAACTATGATATTATGATATATTTGTGAATTGTGAATTTATTTATTATTCATTATAATTATTTATTTTGATTATTATATTTTTTTTTTTACAATTAGTATTATTGTTTTCACCCACGGATTGAGCTGAAAGAAGTAAAATAAATGAAAATTTAATTTTATGTTGATTGATTGATTGAAATATATGTTAATCTGGATATAATGGAACATGCCATAAACAGTAAAAATAACTGATATATTATTTTCATAAACTCTTTATGTTTAAGTAAATGTTTTTCAAAGAAAAACTCTATATCAAGCAAATAAGTATTACACATCGAACCTTCGAATCATCTTTTATCAATTTCCCATGCATATCACAAACAAAAATCTACCCAAAATATTAAAATTTATGTTTTCAATATGAAAAGTGTTCATTGCTTGTAGCGTCCTCTCCCCTCTAGGAATGTTATTATTAAGTTAGTTTGTGACATAAATGTAAGGCATGATGGAAGTGGAGGGCTTGCTATTATTTGCCCTCAGCTCGCGAAGCCAACGAACCGAAAAAAATAATATTAAATCGCTCTCGTCCTGGGCAAGAGCTCTTGGTACGTTTCGTCTTGGGTTTCGGTTGAACTATTCGTGTGACGCTCTTTTAACGAACGTTCTTTAAGGAGCGAGCGTTCGCACAATTAGACTCAGTAAGTATGCAAATGATTCAATATTGCTGATGTGCTTAGCACACAGAGCACTTGTATACATACCAATACAAATGATTTGTTGCTTCATTTGACTCAACAAAATTATCGGGAACAGCTCAAGGTTAAGGAAAGCAACAAAAAAACGATGCCGAACAAGCTCATCGGAAGACCGATGCAATCGGTTGTTCTCTGAGTTCTTTTTCGCAGTGAGACTCTATAAAAAGAATTATTATGCTTAATGCCTTTCTAAAGGTTTAAGAGTAGAGATTCGTAAAAGTAGAGTAGAGTTTTTAACTTAACTAAAAATATTGGTTAGTGTTAGGATCACTTAAAAATAGTTTGCCATCAACTCTTATGTGCTTGTTTGCCCGTCTATTTGAACGCGTCGATCTCTGAAGATATAAGAGTTAGTAGTTAAGTTGGTTGTTATTTTAAAGTAATTCTCATCTATAATTATAAAATAAATAAGGAATTACCAATCGGCTGGTAAATAAAAATGTTTATACCTATTGCAAAATTGACCATTTCTTTTTACGATTCCCAGTGAAAAGTTTTCAGCTTTGAAATAACTTTATTTATAAATTTGACAATATTATCACTATTATTAGTTAATATTCTCCGACTCTATGCCCTGATCAACAACTGTTAGCCACTGTGCGACGCGTGGCAACCATTTTGGTCTTCCGGCTTTAACGTTTGGCCTGGATGCTGGCAGCGATGCCAAATAAAATGTAACGCCCGCAAAATGATTTGCACTTTTTGTGGTCTTTTTTTTTGCTTCTCTCTATGTGTTGCTGTTTCTGTTAAAGTTTTTGTTTTGTTTATTTTCATTTTGTTTTTTTTTTTTTGTTTTTTTTTGTATTTTTATTTTATTTTATTTGTTGTTTGCCAGCTACGCTTGTGACTGCGAACTACGGACTACGACGATTCCGGATTGCGCCTTTGTTTGTCTCTCAATCGCACGCTTCTTGATTGCTTTCCTAGTTTCGGATCCTTGTTGTTGTCTCTGCTGCTGCTGTTGTTGTTGTGCTTGTTGTTGTTGTTGTAGTCCAGCTTCCTCTTCGTCGGCTTCCTGATGTTCCTTGTCGCCGCATTTGGCGCCCCCAGTCAATGCTGATGATGCCATTTAGATGCATATCAAAGTGTTTCACTTTTGGCCAATCCTTTCGCCATTTTTGCATATGTATGTATGAATGTATTGTACACATTTATTTATTTATATTTTGTTTCTGTTTCTGATTCTGATTCTGTTTCTGTGTTTGCCATTTTCTATTCTCTATTTTCTATTTTTTGTTTGTTTTTTAGGGATTCCACTCCTGGCTTCTTCGATTGTAGTTTATGGCTTCTGACCTACCCTGCGCCGCCAGCCATCCCCCTCCGTCAGCTTCCATGCTGGGAGTAAATCTTGAGGTCCTCTGGTCTGTTGTTGCTCGTGCCAGAGCTGGAAAGTTTTGCTTGCTCGTCAGCCTGTGGCAGCTGGCACCAATCGAAAGTTTCGTCCTGGTATTATGATTATTTAAGGCATTTCGCTTGCCAGATATTGTATAGATAATATTTCTATTGGCCCTGTTAAAGTGCTTTTTGATGCGATTTGTCGTTAAAGCTCAGCATACGCGCATTTCCCTCAACTTTTACGACATCAACTTGAAGTGATATGTATCTAATCTATTATCTAATCCATTGTCAAAAAATGCTAGTATATTGCTTGGAAATGTGTTGAGCAGGATTTATTAAAGAGAAAAATATTTACTCATTGAATAATTTTAAATAAATTGTTGATGCGGACGTCGTATTGGGGAACTTATAGAAGATTATTGTAGATAGAGAAAATTGTTGAATTAATATGCGTAAATAATAATATAGTTATATACAAAGATTTTTCATATATTGTTTGATGGGCATCACAAATTATTCTTGTTTGACATAAATTAGTAAAGCTCTTAACTGCTTGATTAAAGTTAAAACTTATTTGAAATCATTGAAACTATAATATGGTATATTATAATTTATACTTTATGTACATAGATTTCATATAATTATACTCATTCCTGCAGTCAAATGAGTATATGGGTTTTGTGTAACTTCTTATCGTTCTAAAATTGTTGTTCTATCTTCCCAATTACGATTTATCATAAAAACTATGTGAACAGCTAAATGTCATCAGTAATTCCACAGCTTCTGAAATGTAACTAGCAAAGAGAAGAAAGAGCAAAGAGAGAACCAGAGGTTCGACTATGCAGTATATATTCTATTCAATTCATATATTCTATCAGTTATTTGACAACATCCATGAAGTCACTCTTCTCTTGATATCGATGAAGCATCTATGTATATCCACAGATGAATGTATCAATGCCTGTTTAGTCCTTCGCATTCTAGTAAGCATGGACAGAGGCAGAGGCCAAGATCTAGTTCCATCCAGCATCTACTCCATTCTTCAAGATGACATTTTATTGCAGTCTTCATTACAGTGCTCCTCTTTATTCATTCTCTCTGGTATATTCTATGCTAGTTCAAAGTCAACTCCATATTCAGTTGGCCTCTTAAAGCTCTGCCACTTGGTTTGCATAGCAAACTCGACGTTTTATTTAAATATATTCATTGAGTGAAAAAACACTTAAACTCTTAATGTTATGTATGTATTATACATTTATTATTTATTAATCCGAGCACAAAATGCCGCAACGATCAGTTCATAATAAAAATAGTTGATAAATGTGAGCACCAATATAAATACATATACATACATACACACATATGTATATATATACAATATATAGATAAAAGCATAAGTAATGGTGGCAAAAATGTAATTTACATCAGTGTACGTGTGTGTGTGTGTGTGTGTGTGTCTGTGTCTCTGTGTGCGTGCTTGTGGGGGTCTCTCTATAAATTTTTAACGTAAATCCACTAAGAGCTTTAGCAGCCATTGGCCCATTTTGGAGCGAACTTTGCCGATGTCCGTTTGTTTGCCAGCCTGGTGAAGTCAAACAGTGGGGAGACGTCGCGACGGTGTGGATGTGGGTGGGCGTGGCGTATTGGTACTGGTACATGTAATGAAATCCGCAAAGCGTCAGGCAAATTTTTATAAAATCGACATAAAGCTGGGGCAATGAATTTCATTTCAGTGGGACAGCCACAGACAGGCTCACACACACACACACCCACATACACACACACCCACACACACACACACACACATGGACAGCGCTTGCAGTTGGCTCCTTTTTGACAATCATACATATACACATACATACATACATACATATACATACATATGTTGTAAGCCACATTGAACATTACGAGCCAATGTTTCGCGGTGGCCAACTGTGTGCACTGTCTGTTTGTTTGAGTATGCTAAATACATATGCGCAGTGATAAACACATTACAAGATATTTTGCATATTTTATGCGCCGTGGCCCATGCGAATCGAACCAAATTGAACAATGTCGCGCCGAGGTGTGCAGAGACAACAGGCAACATGCATGCGCACATGCACAGACCCACGTACATACATATGTGCACATGCAGGGGGAGAGGGGGCATTGTTAAAATCTGTTTTTATGATTAATCGACCCGTGGCGCAAAGAGGAACAAAAAAAAAAAAAAAAGAAATGAAAGAAGAGAAATGAATAAAATGCCGATGGCACTACTTTGCTTTTGCTTTTGTTTTGTCAATATGCCGGTAAATTTCATTTGCAGAGCATTTCGAATGACTGCCATTCGAGGTGGGTTAAATAATCAGGCTTGACTCCGGCCTTACGCTCATTCACTTTATGGGATATTCAAGCTGTCAACTCCAACAAGACAAACACAAAAATCACACAAAAGCTCACACGGTAAAAACGGTGAGCGAAATGTTTATCGGAGAATTGTGTCAGTGCATAAAATGCAAATTGAATTATGTTATATGTGTCTATGTGTATGTACGGTGTGATGTGAATATATTGTGCTATTTATTAGCAAGTTAGTTAGTCAATCATTCAATCAAATAAAGCTGTCTATATAAATCCGATAGCCAGCTTAACTGAAGTAACTGTTTTCAACAAGTGCAGCCAATCTCTCACTTAGTTAACAAGTCGGTCAATCAGCTCATCTGGCAATCACTTGAATA